TTCTGCTGTATCTCACTTAGCCAAACAACGCATGGACTCGTATGCCAAACGTTGGATATCGTCTTACACTCCCAGCCATGATGACTGCAAGCTGATTACTCTTCTATATATGTGTATGTCTATATTATCCTGCAACTGTTGGCGGAAATATCGGCAACGGTCGCCAATGCTTACTGCGAAATTCTAAAAGGACACAAGCATCCATAACTGGAGCTAAATACCCCTACTTGACCGGTCGAAGTTCGTAGTATTTGATTACCTTTGGAGAAATAACATTTATTTACATTTTTGGGGGTCATGAATCGGGTATTGCTGCTATAAAAGAATCAAATACTCTCATCTTATAATACTGCCTATCATGTATTTCGCCGCGGTCAGCCAATCAACTGCCTTGTCATCGCGGCGAAGAGCCAGTAAGGGAGACAAACCGACAGTTTAAAGATTGCAGTTGTCTGGAGAACTTCGGTAGGGTCGTTGTACGCGAGTCTGAGTTTTATTTTTAACTGGTAAGGCTGTCATAATTTTGGTAAGGATTTGAGAACACCTGAGTTTAAAGACGTTTAAACATAGCATTTCAATTATATTCTTTAAACTTATGTAAATATTTCTGTACATAAAATCGTGGAACTTATAGGAAAGTTATTCCGGCGAAAAGCATGTCCAGTTTGCTTCACGATTGACAGCCACATGATTCTATTATTATAAATCAATAGAAGTTGAAGATCTTGAAACACTTAAGAAATTAATCATGTCTGACAAATTATTTCAAGTTTTAGATGGAGAAATAGCGTCACACGTCGCAATACACCACATAAATAAATGGTTGAAGTCGCAAGTATTAGCTACAAGATTGTGGTATCTATTTCGCAGCGAAACGAAACCTTTCGACGAAATCCGGGGAAAAAGGCATAATCACCCACTGCTTGGCGCGTTTTTAAGAATTGCACATACTCGATATCCATGTACACATCGACCTATTTTGACTTAAAAAGAAATCCGAGAATTGCACAAAAAGGGCATTGCGCACTCCCTTGACTTTATCCATGTACACATTGACCTATTTTCACTTTAAAAGTCAAAACAAAATTGACAAAAATCCAATTCTTCTTACACTTGTAAAAAGCGCCAAACAAATAAGTGGATGATTCTGCACTTTACCCGAAATCCGAAACAAAACTAAACGCCCGCCGATATTCATGGATACAACATTTATACAAGATATATATATATTCCCCACACACATGAGAAAGACTATGGCATACAAGAAGGATTTTCCATGAGATGAACACATCGCAAGAGATTGCTCAGACAAAAAAGAAAGAACGAAAATGTAGTCAAGAAGAAGGGAAAGAATGATCCAAGAACTTCTAAAAATTCAATTAGAACAACAAGAGAAAAAGCCGTAGTAGCTAAAGTAAGCTCATTCCATTTGTGATCCGAATTCGAAGAAAGAATTGTCCAATCATTGCCATAATCAAATGTTTTTATCAATGGTTGAAGTCGCAAGTATTATCCTGAGAAATCGAAACTATTATAGACCCCGGAACGGAGATAATGATCGTACGTGCATCACTCACTCCAGATTTAGAAGTCAAAGAAGGAAATAAAAGGATACTAAGCTCTGCTTTAGGACAGGTGATTTAAGCAAAAGTTTGCCGTGTACCTATTTATTATAAGAAAAATGGAAGTAATTTATTTAATTTTGGGATACATTATTCGTAGTGATTGCTAAGCTAAATGTGCCTTGTTTAATTTTTTAATTTGGGGATACATTAATCGTAGCTAAATGTGCCTTGTTTAATAACTCCACAAATGAACGAACTATTAATTAATTCTGCAACGAAATAATTCCGAAGAAGAAATTTTGCTGAGTATGTTCCCCGAAATTCAAACAAAGGAGAACGTAGATCCGTTTCCGCTAACGTTTTTGGAAGAGAATACCAAAGATGAGGAAAGGGAGAAGGAGAGCGCTGACGTGATCACAGACTTTTCGGCAGCCAAAAGCCTACAAAGAGTGCATTGGAATTGCCCGTCGCTGAGAGAGGCATAGAAGTTAGCTGAAGAAAAAAAAAGAACTATTTATTTATTGATCACCTTTTACACCACCAAGAAAAAATATTCGGTCAGGCTGTTTTCCAAGTGGTATTTCCTATTAATAGAAAAACACAGGTGTTGAAATTAGCACATAGTTCCATTTTCGGAGCACATGTTGCAATAAGGAAAAACAAAAGACATAATCCGATATAGTCTTTTTTTTGGGGGGGGGTCACGGATTAGCGCAAAACTTCGAAACTTGCCAAAAATGTCAGTTGAAGAGTCCAGAAAAGCAATCGGACAAGATTTCCCATCTCACCTGTCAAAAGACCAGAATTACGCTTCGAAGTAGTGAATATTAATATAACTGTACCTATTGAAATTCCTTCTATTAGAAAGCATAAATACTCTTTATGCCTAGCAGATCAACATTCCCGATGGCCAAAAGCAATCCCGCGGAGAAGCGGGACAGCAAAAGCCACTTGCGACGTACTTTTAAAAGATATTTATGAGAACAGGAATTCCCAATATTAGAAAGTGAAAACGGAAGCAACTTTATTTCAAATTAACTAAAGAATTTCTTGAAAAAGTTCTCATCCTGAATTCTCCACACCTGCTCACAGCGTTTCAAACAGATTGATGGAAAGATGGGACAAGTCCCTCAAGCAAATGTTACATCATGTCATCCTTTGATCCTAATATTCCAACAGAACTTACCCTTCTAACTGGAAAAAGCACATCCCGTACTTACTCTCTGCTTACCGGGAAGTACCGAAGTGCACCACCGGGATCTTACCATTCCAGCTGATATACGGAAGACAACTAAGAGGTCCTTTAGCAGTACTAAAGTCTTCATGGACAGGAGAAATACCCATACCATCTATTTTATAAGAATTGGCAGTGCATTACTTACAACATTTAAAAATCAGATTAGATAAAGCAGCCGAACAAGCCAAATTAATTGCAAGTAAGAAACAATAAAAATATGCGGAATATTTTAACCAAAGATCAGTACGAAAAAATTTCAAAATCGGAGAACAGCTCTATTTACTCATCCCAGATTCAAATCACAAACTCTATGCTAGGTGAACTGGTTCGGAGGAAATTATTGAAAGAATGAAACCACACTTTTTTAAAGCTAAATTACCAGGTAGCAGTGTGCGACATGTTCATGTAAACAAACTAAGAAAATTTCACGTTCAAGCACAGACTGTAGGAATAATTTTTTAGGATGATTCTGAGTTTGGAGATAATCATCTGACTCCAAATAAAGTAGACTGTGCAGCAACTAAAAGTGACATCGAGGTGGATATTAGTCGTTTAAAGGACAGTAAACAAAGGTGCTAATGCGAGCTCTTATTTAAGCACACAGTGTTGTTCTCTGGTAAAATCCAAATAGCTAGTGTTGGTACATAAAATTCGTTTGTTACTGGGAGCTGAAAGGAAAAGCCGTACATTTATAAGAACCCTTAATCTTTGACACCTAAAGTAAATAGACAAACTGAAGAATTAGAAAACTCGGGTTTTACTAAGCCAGGTTAAGCTGAAGTAGCACACCTGGCAAAAAATGTGCCATATTATACATAACACACACACAAATAAATAATTTTTTTAAAAAAAATTAATCTGAAATTTTTCAAATTTAAGCCAAAAAAGTTTTTTTTTTTTTTAGTGTTTTGTGTGTTATCTTTATTTATTAAATATCATGTACTTCGCACTTAAACCATAAAACTTAATTCAATGTTTAGTATTTTTTGTTACCAAACAACTTCTAGTGTCTCTTGACGACAATAGATGGCGTACCGCCTCATGATTCATTTATGGTTGCTATATGGTAACGAGCCTAACTAAATACAGTGGGCGATCGGTTAACGAACATAATCCGTTCCAAGATTATGTTCGCTATCCAAATTGTTCGTTAACCGATCACCGATTTACCATATATGTTAATGGAAATTCGATTAATTCGTTCTGGAGATCCTAAAATTAATTAAAAAAATGTCGTGTACAAGTTATATTTCTTAGTAAGTTATTTATACAAATATAATACATACGTATAGTCTTACTTATTAATCAGTCCTTTTCCTTTCTTTGGGCGTTAAAGAACATGTCCAATGTCGATTGTTTTTCTCTCTCCTTCAGGACTTTCAAGAAATGATTGACAGCAGTGTCGTTGTACAGATCACCAACCCTATTGCCATCAGCTTGTTTTGGATGCCATTTTAAGACCGTTGCTCTGGCATCCTCCCACTTCTTCAAGAGATCTTTAATGGCAGATGTCGGCATATCTCCTCTTTCGTCTTCCTCTTTTTTAGAAGGAAACACATTTCGCTGAGTTTCTTGGTGTTCTTCATTCAAGATTTCTTGGAGTTCTTCTGCCGTCAAGTTACCTTCATGTTCCATTATGAGCTCTTAAATGTCATCCTCGTTCACCTCCAATTCCAGATCTCTCGCAGTTGTTACAATTTCATACATAATTTCAGGGGTGTGACCCTGACCACCTCCGTCTCTTTGAACGAGGGATGGACACAGGTTTCGCCAGGCCGAAACCAACTGTGGTTGAGTGATTTCTGACCACGTTTTTTCAATAAGACGAATAGCTTCGAGAATGTCAAATTTTTCCATCCAAAACGTTTTTAAAGTCATTTTTGAGGAGAATTGCATGCTTCAAAACATCGCCGAAACATCGCACGAGTGTACAATTTGTTGAAACCTGCAATAACCTCTTGATCCACTGGCTGAATCAGTGAAGTCATATTCGGAGGTAAAAACTGTACTGTCAGCCAAGGAATGTCTATCAGCAAATTATCTTCAAGGTCCTTTGGGTGCCCTGGTGCGTTGTCCAATGGCACCAATGCTTTCAATGGCAGGTCATTGGTATCAAGTTAGCCACTCTTTGAAAAGAACCTCTGATTCGATCCATGCCCTCTGGTTCGATCTCCACATCACTGGCAGTTTTCTCTTCATTATGGAATTTTTTTTAATGCTCTAGGATTCTCAGAGTGATAAAAGAGAAGTGGTATAAGCTTCATATCACCACTGGCGTTAGCTCCCAAAAGTAACGTCAATCGGTCTTTCATGAGTTTATGTCCAGGAACACTTTTCTCATCTTTCGTGATGTAGGTACGGTTCGACATGCGCTTCCAAAACAAACCAGTTTCATCACAATTAAATATTTGTTGTGGACAATACCCTTCTTTTTCAATGAATTCTTGAAATTTGAGACGGAACCTCTCAGCTTCTTCTTTATCTGCACTAGCAGACTTACCATGAATGACCACATGTTTAATGCCAGAACTCCTTTTAAACTTTGCAAACCAGCCAGTGGTAGCTTTGAATTCTAGATTTTCGGATGACGAACCTGGAGTTTGTTATTTCAATTTCTCAAAAATTTCTCTAGCCTTCACTTGAATGATGGCCATAAGAGTTACATCTCTTTTCATCTCCCGTTCATTTATCCAAACTAAAAGCAAACTCTCCATTTTTTCATGGATGGCACTTCTTTGCTTCTCAGATGTAATTTTTGTTTCTCCTTTAGCGGCTTGAGTCTTCTTGATGATATCTTTCTTAGCTAGGATTGTGCCTATTGTAAACCTGTTAAAGCCGTACTGCCTAGCAACATCAGTCATTTTTTGTCCACTCACTACTTTAGTTATAATGTCTTGCTTGTTTTTTATGGTGAGCACAGTTTTTGACACTCCACTTTTTTTAGGTCCCATAATATTGTCAGATTTTCAGATTTTTTTTATAAGGCGTTTCGAAAAGCACATACGAAAATCACATGGACAGAAACCAACTATGGTACACAATTGGCAAAGTGTCGTCGCACACTACCGTACGCGTCGTACGATGCTGCTTCACTGCTACGTAGTATGAATGATAACGTGTCAGCGCACGCGCACATCCAATGATGACGTGTCAGCGCACGCGCACATCCATTTTCAAAGCGAACTGAGGACTGGTGTCGGGTGTTCAAAGAGCCGAGAGGTTTTCGTTAGAATTAGTTTTTGTTCTTTGTCCGAACACAAAAATCTTTCCTGAAAGTGTTCGCTGTCCGAACTGTCCGTTAACTGATCACCCACTGTATGTATTTTATGTGTTCCACTCTTTTTATTATTGCTACTGTGCTTTTGAGGGAAATGCGCAACTAAAAATGCTGTGTCGACATGAGGACGGTACTTCTTCTAATTGAAAGTGTTATTGTTAATAAAGAACATTAGTCCGCTGTTGTGCATCTCTTATTCCTAATTAGCAGCAGTATCACAAAATAATTTAAACAGTGCATATCTTTAGAATTTCCGATACACAGTCTCGTGCGCTGGAGATAAAAATGTTTTTTTTACTCCCCAATGTTGCCAGTGCTGGATTTGAAATCGTTCATTTTCTTAATCAAAAACTCATAAATACTTTATAAAGTATAAAATATATAGTAAAACAAATTCCAAATTTCAAATTAGGGCTTTCAGATGTCCATATTCGAAGTAGGATTACGTTATTCAAAATTTGATGGCTCTAGGTCTGTTGTTTTATCACAATGCGAGAAACATACATACATTTTTGAAAAGTCTTCATTATTTAATTTCTTTAAATATAATACAGGGTGATAACATTTGGTGGCAACAATATGAAAGTGATTCAGACTTTTAAAGTTTCCGAAGAAAAATGCCAAAAAATTAATAGCTCTTCTGGGCTAACGCCCTTTGGGCTAATAAATATTGCTTGATATTAAGTTAAAATGCTAAACATTTTAGATTGAATTATTCCTTCGAATTATTGAATCACGTGGACAACTTTGCAATCAAAATAGTCTAAAAGCCAAATTTCGCTGCAGGTTAAAAATCAAGCTACGAAGTTTGGGGACTAATCTTCAGATTTTGGCGATTGACCGAGGTGCCGCTTTAGTCCTGAAGCACTCTTCTTGATTTGAATTCTTGATTCTTTAATAATCAAGTTTCGAGATACACCAGAAGTGTAACTTCATTTTTTGAAAGTACCAAATGTTACGTTCACATGCTGACGTTGATTTCGAGTTGCAAAGCAGATGGTAGTTGACAGGAAGAGAAGGGGGGAACATGTTTTTAGATGTATAAAAGGCATTTGTGATATTTTGATACATGGAGAAAACTCATGTTGAAAGATATTAGTTGTACTTATGTAGTTTTCCTATTTACTAGTTTTTAGTGCAAGGCGTTTTTTCAGGGTAAGAATTTCGTATTTTTTTTTTTTTTTTTTTTTTTTTTTTTTTTTTTTTTTTTTTTTTTTTTTTTTTTTTTTTTTTTTTTTTTTTGCAAATGTATTTTATCCCCATGTATTTAATACAAGTATATTAGGCATCGCTTAATGAGATCATGTTCGTCCATGACTATTTTGATGACATTGATAGCATTAGTTCTAGATATCAATATTATTTAAATAAGTTAATATAAATACAACCAGAAATATATAAATACTTACTTTCACAGCATTTTAACTAGATAAAAAGTCATTAACAGTTGACTACCTGGAATTCTTATCGAAAAGTTTATTATTTGAACAGTTCATAATGCTTCTGGAAACTATTTGGTTCATGCTCTTCCCACACATAGGCAACTCTCATCTCTGCATTTGTAGGAAATTCACCGATATTTTCAACACATCATGTGCTCGGATTTGTTTCAGAAAGTACGGGAGAACTGATACTACTCATTTTAGATGGGAACGTTTTTAATTATTCATCTTCTTTCATTTTATGACTTCATGCTTAAAACAGTTCTTTATTATTTTTTCCCAGATGCGATTCCAAGACTTTTACGATACAAAATTTATTGCTCATTTCCTTAGTGTCTTAGATCAAAATAAGATGCTTAGCGACTTCATCCCTATCTTGGAGACATAGTTCTATCATTCTGGCGCTTAATTTGCTGTATTTCGACTTTAGCTGCAATTTATATTTTATTTGGTGATATTACGAGTACTTCAATTTAAAAATTCATTCTATAACATTTCAGTAATATGAACCGATTTGTTGATCGAAATAAGTGGTGTGTTTTCCATACTTCCATATACAAGTGAGCGAGGCTTCGACAGTTCGACAACAATATCCGAATGATAAGTTACTCTAGGATTTAAAGCGACCATTTCGGTCGATCACCCAGATCAGATGATTAATCAGTCGCCAAGCTTGTTAAATGTAATAAAATATAATCTGATTTTCAGTCTTTTTTTTTTTTTTTTGTGTGTGTGTGTGTGTGTGTGTGTGTATGTTTGTGATGTTTTCCGTATAAAGTATGTTAATAAAAATAATAATAATATATATAGTTTAGATAGTTCTGGCACAGTGAGTGTTGTCGTCATCAGGAGATTGTGCTTCGCGATACTGTCGTTCAAAAAAAAGCTATAGTTTGTAATTCCAATAAAAGCATCGTATTTTTGCTCTGCTATTCGTTTTTCTCTTTATTTTTAGGAAATACCTTTTTAGGTTATGTATTTGTAAGAAATACTTTTTTAGGTTATGGCTCAAGCAGCTCCCATATTGCGTCAAATGTTTGAATTGATGTTTCTCGAAGAAACGGAACTCGTTAAGCCTAATCAAGTAAGTTTTTGTTTTCGTTATAGCAATCGAAGTTGTTTAGAAATCAAAGTATGGAATTATCTAAGGTCCAAGTAAAGCCTTTATCAGGTGAAGCGATTGGCTTATATGGAAATACAGGATAAATTTGTTTTAAATTATCATCCTGGTGCTTTAGAAATTGTAGAAGGAACTATAGTGAAACCAGAAATTCTTCCTGTAGATGCTCCGACTGCTCAACAAGAGAAATATAATGAAGCTGTTAAGAAGTTTCAAAATGCAAACACTAGTGCTATGATGTATTAACGAATTCCATGACAGAAGAAACTCTACAAAAAGTTATGAGATTTCAGACTGCTAGAGAAGTGTGGTTGGAATTACTAAGTTATTTGAAGCATCATCAGAAATCAATTGTATAATATATGCATGCAATTTTTTCAATTCAAGTGGAATGAAAATGATAATATGGCGGCTCATCTTTCCAAATTAAAAAACTTATGGAATGAGTTGAATTCAGGTCTTGAAAAGAAAAATGAAAATAAGTTACCTGACATGCTACTCAATTGCAAGATTTTAAATGCCTTACCAGGACAATACCATTTGTTTAAGTCAAGTTGGTTACTCTTGGGTGAAGACAAAAGAACAGTTGATGAGTTAACAGCACAGCTTTGCTCTCATGAAAGAGAATTTAAAAGTCATGAGAAAGGCAATACAAATGAACAAGTGGCATTAGTAATGTCAAAATCTGAAAAACAAAAGCAATATAAAAAAGACAAATTCAGAAGAAAAGCAAGAAAAGAAGATATTTGCAATTATTGCAAAAAGAAAGGACACTGGGTAAAAGATTGTAAACAGTGGATTGCTGATAGAAGCCCACCCAAGAATAGGTTAACGAAGACCAATGAAGGAAATACAGGCAGTGTAATACTGATGTCCATTGACGATGAGGCTAAGACTGATCAGACATCTTTTTGGATTGATAGTGGAGCTACAAGACATATCACGAATTGTTTCACATACTTTATTGACTTTATGAAGTTTGATAGTCCCTGTAGCATCAAGGCTGCTGGAAAAGAAACTTTAGTTGCTCTTGGTAAAGGTACAGTATGTGTCAAAACAACTATTGGTAGTAAAATCCAAAGAATTTACCTTAAAGATGTTTGGTATGTCCCTGAGATAAACAGAAATTTATTTTCTTTACTTGCTGCTCAAGATAGAAATCCGAATAGTAAATTTATTTCAACAGTTACAGAATGCTGGTTAAAGGTTAATGGTCAAGTAGTGCTTTTTGGAACTCGCAAAGTATATGGTACTTTATCCAAGGCAGCTATCGAACCTATTATGCCTGATAAAATTATAGAAGTTCCATGCTGCTGAAGCAGACAATTCCTTGTTAGAGTTATATCATCAGAGATGGGGACATCAAGATAAACGTCACATTAAGAACATGCTTGAGAAAGAATTAGGAATTAAAATCCCATTTGAAAGAAAATTGTGTGAACCAATGCATTTTTTTGGCAAAGCACACCGTTTATCATTTGGCATAAGAAAGCCAGCCAGCAAGCCTGGTGAATTAATTTCAGCTGATGTCTGTGGACCTTTTGATGAATCTTTCCAGAAGAAAAGATACTTAGTTGTGTTTAAAGATAGCTACACAAAGTTTCGTTATGGGTATTTTATCAAGGAAAAATCTGCTGTTGTAAATATGTTACAACACATGCTTGCACACGCTAAAATTTTAGAACATCCAGTCAAAGAATTTCTGAGCGATAATGGAGGCGAGTTTGACAATGACAAAGTTCGTGCTATTTTGCATTCTGAAGGTATAACTCAAAAACTAACAGCACCTTATTCTCCTGAACAAAATGGCTCTAGTGAGAGACATACGTACAATAATTGAAATGGCAAGAACATTTAAGTACTCAAATTCTGAAGCTCATTTTCCTGCAGCAATATGGGCTGAACTAGTCAACGCTGCCATATATGTATTAAACAGAACTGGCAAATCATCAGTAGAAGGCATGAGTCCTTATGAGCTATGGTTTAAAACGAAACCTCGAATTAAGCATCTTCGTATAGTAGGATCTGTGTGTTATGCCCATATTCCTAAACAAAGAAGAAGGAAAATGGATAATAAGGCTACAAAAGCTTATTTAATTGGTTATGATGGAGACGAAAGATACCGACTATGGATCAAAGAAACCAATATTGTGATCTGTTCACGTGATATTATATTTAACGAAAAGCTCACAAATTGTGAAGAAAGTGTGCAGTTACCTATTCAAGATAAAGATAGCCTAATTTCTGGCTCTGAACATCAACAAAATTCAGAAAAAGATAAGTCAGAAAAGTTTCTTTGTGAAGAAGATAATTCAGAAAAAGAATACAACAAAGAAATATCTGGAAATATATCAGAAGAACATTTTGAAAGACAAGAATGTGAAGATATTAATTTGCAAAATAATGCACAGTCAAGATACCTAAGAGATAAGCTGACTTGAGAAAGCCAAAGCCATTCTTCCGACTGTAAGCCCAGATGTAGGGTTATATTTATTTAACTAACATTTATTTTAAGTTTAAACTATCTTTCCTGTCAAGCCTTACTTTCCCCTGGAACTGCCAATGCCAGAGTATGTAAATTTTAGTAGAACGCGCAAGGATTCAAATTATCAGCGGAAGTATTCTGAGTTAAATAGAAAGGAAACGAGTTCGAAGTGTGCTTTCTTACTTCACTTCACGAGCGCGGAGGTAGTTAGTCAGAAATTGAAGAACCACGCGTTTCGGCCTGTGTGCTTGCCTCGGCAAATTGTTAATCTTTCAACGTAATATTCAGAGTTTGCTGAATTATCAGCGGTATTGTAGAACGCGGTGAGGTTAGTTACGTTTAGAGAGCCTCGTAGTTAGTTACTTGTTAGTATCTCTTTTAGTTTCTTATTTTTATTTTACCGCCGGGTCGGCGTAGTTTGTGAGCGTCAAGAGCACGCATTTGTAACTTCTAAAGTTGAATAAAAAGGGACTTAAACCCTTCTCAAGACTCTGTCTAATTTCCAGTTTTCTGCAGTCACCAATTTGTTGGGTGCAGGTTGGAAGCGCGCAACGTTACACAGAGATGAAATCATTGATAGAGAATGAAACATGGAGTTTAGAAAAATTACCAAAAGATGCTAAAGCTATACCATGCAAGTGGGTTTATAAGATCAAAAGGAATCCTGATGGATCTATTGATAAATTCAAGGCTAGACTTGTTGCCAAAGGATGTACTCAGCGTTTTGGAGTTGAGTATGATCAAACGTTTAGTCCAGTAACAAAGTTAGGAACTATTCGTTCAGTTTTGAGCATCGCAGCCAATGAGAAAATGCATCTTTCTCAGTTTGATGTCGGTTCAGCATTTTTATATGGAAAACTTGAAGAATCTATATACATGCAGCAACCAGAAGGATAAAGTGACGGTTCGAAGAAAGTCTGTAAGTTGAAACGCAGTTTGTATGGACTTAAACAATCATCACGCTGCTGGAATAAATATTTTGGAGATTTTGTGTCACAGCTTGGCTTCAAGACAAGTGAAGCTGATCCATGCTTATATATAAGAAACAATAACGGCAAGAAGCTAATCGTATGTTTATATGTAGATGATGGTTTAATAGCATCAACAATCTACAAGAATCTGAAAAATTTCTCAGAGAATTGAAGTCGAGATTCAGAATCACAACTAAACCAGCAATATACTTTCTTGGACTTGAAATTAAACATCTTGAAGATGGAAGTATTAAAATTAGTCAGCAAGCTTATGCAAGAAAAATTCTTCAAAAAATTGGGATGGAAGATTGCAAGCCAGTGTCAACTCCTATCCTGAAGGAAGGTCTAGCTGAAAAGAAAAGGAAGATAAATCAAACAGAGAAATTTTTCCTTATAGAGAAGCTGTAGGAGCTTTAATGTATCTTATGTTAGGCACAAGACCAGATTTAGCTTACTGTGTTGGCATTCTATCACGTTACCTAGAAAATCCTTCGAAAGATGATTGGAAAAAAGTGAAACGTGTATTCAGATACATAGCAGGTTCTCTAACTAAAGGTGTTACATACAAGAATAAATACAAACCAGGAATTCTAGAATGCTATAGTGATGCAGATTTTGGAGGCTGTCAAGAAACAGGAAAATCAACGAGTGGAGTAGTGATATTATATAGTGGTGGAGCTATATCATGGATTAGCCAAGGGCAATCAGTTGTTGCAACTTCGACGACTGAAGCAGAAGTAATTGCAGCTAGTGAATGTTCTAGAGAAGTAATTTGGTTAAAGCGACTATTTAGTGATGTAACCAAGTTACGTGAAACTCCAGTAATTCAAGTAGACAACGCCACTGCAGTGAGACTGTCACAAAACCCGGAGTTCATCGACGCACAAAACACATTGATATCAAGCACTTTTTCATACGAGAGAAAGTTCTAGAAAAGGAAATCATTGTGCAGCAGGTACCTACAGAGGCGCAAGTTGCTGACATAACGACTAAACCTTTATTTAAACCGAGACTGTTAATTCTTTGTGATAAGATGGGACTTAAGATGTGACTCTTTTCTTTAATTTATTATTATTTTTTTTACAAGGGGAAGTATTAAAGTATGTTAATAAAAATAATAATACTATAATATATAGTTTAGATAAGTTCTGGCAACAGTGAGTGTTGTCGTCATCAGGAGATCGTGCTTCGCGATACTGTCGTTCAAAAAGAAGATATAGTTTGTAATTCCAATAAAAGCATCGTATTTTTGCTCTGCTATTCGTTTTTCTCTTTATTTTTAGGGCCCACCAGCGGCTGAGCGGTAAAGTCGCTGAACACTGGTAGTTCGGTCCGAGGTTCGAATCCCGCGAACGGGCTGGCTGCATGGGTGTTTTCGTGGTTTTCCCCATGTGTAACGTGTATGCGAGCCAGTTTCCCTTAGAAAGTCCTCCACAAAGGCATCCCTCCCCTAAGGCAGATAGCCCTAGTCTGCTTTGCCATAATTAAATACACACACACTTTATTTTTAGAAATACCTTTTTAGGTTATGTATTTTTAAGAAATACTTTGTTAGTCCGCGTGACATCATCGATTCAGTAATTCTTTCATCCTCCAAATGTTTAGCATTTTAAGTTAACGCTAATTTAAACGCAGGTGTTTCCAAACTTTTTCAGTTGGCGGCGCATTTACAGGTTTTTGTCACGGCACCCTAGTCGTGTTCAACGAAGTGTTGTACAAGGTTTGTGCTTTACAACCTGCTTACTACATAGCGTCACAGCAAATAACACTTCATTAAATACAACTCTATATTGATAGCAGTCACAAATATGCCAGTCGACTCTATATCGACCAGGCACAGAAATAAAAACAACCACAATCCGATGCTCATATAGGTATATATTGAACTGATACACAAGCATATTATATTGTTAAGGATTTGGTATTTAAATAGCTAATGTTAATAGAATTATAAACTAAATTGTTTTATTCCCCTTGCAATGAAGCGCGTGACGAATATTAAGAAAAAGCTAAGCCGTAAAATTACAAATACAAAAGCACGTGCATTTAACATTTAAATAAATAAATATCTCTTTTTGATTTCGAGAAAATATCAGAAAATTCTGATGTATTTAAAAAGCTTGCATAAGCGGCATGAAAACTTTTCAATTCGTTAGTTAGTTGTTTTATGAGTTTGTTTAAAAAACTGCTGTTGATGACCGTAGCGAATTCGCGGTGAAATCGGATTAGCTTTCTCTATTTCAAATTAGTTCTGTTGAACGTTTTAGGAGTTTAAATAATAACTACTGTGAGATATTGCGATATTGTACGAATATCTGAGGAAATTTAAGCATTTTGTTTTATTTGCTGTGATAATAATAAATTTTATTCATTTTTCATCGGACTTGTTCATTCAATTCGTAACGAATCCGTACGCACGCAACGATATTATCATTATTAAAGAAAAATAGGAAAAAATTAATTGAACAGGTGTGCTTGCTCATCAGCACAATGTGCTTCAAAGAGAGGGATGAGACTTGACACTGCCACACTCATGTCTTGCTCCCCGTTTATTTTTGAACGATATTTGCTCTTTATTAGAGCTACAGCTGAAAATCCGGTTTTGCAAAGCTTTGGAACTTAGAATTGCATATTCATTTTTGATGATTATCTGAAACTCCACCAAATCGGAACACGCAAATTTTGTTTGTCTGTTGTCGCAAGAGAGTTCAATGAGAACTTGAGCATGGAAAGGATTTTGGATACCGAATATTTCTCGATATTTCTTCTGCAAAGTATTTTATGAAGCATTCAGTGAGCTTCGAAAAGTGTTCGTAACAATCTTCAGCAACGCAGTAATATAAGTGCAATGGAAATATAAGTGCGGCTTGTCATTCGAAAAAGGGAGAACTACGTTAACAATTTAGCAAAAAAAATCACTTTTTTGAAAAAGTATAGTAGAAATAAGAAAAGGAACCAAATTTACAGAAAAGCCTAATCTAGTTAAATGGATTGCCGTACGAAAAAAAATCTCGCCAGAATTGCGTGGTAATGTGAGAGTCCATCTCCCAAATTTGGTGGGCTGTGCTTCTAGCATATCTGTATCACAATATGTTCCCGTATTGTTTTTTTTTTTTTTTTTTTTTTTTTTTTTTTTTCAGTATTCAATAATGCTTTTAATATTTACCAAATTAATTTCAAATGTCGCGAACTTCACCAAAGTATATACAAGGAATGCTTTGATACTGAAGTGCCAAAATAATAACATTAACCCAGAGCTTAAATTGCGCCGGAGCCCACCGGAGTCTGGCTCTGGTACTTCTCAGTTTTCGAGATAAATTATAATTTCAGCCGAAAAACACCGAAGGCCTGAATAAAAGGACTCCGGTACTTCTTTTATGTAAGTGAACAACAATTTTAGTAGATAAATATTTTTTTAATAGTAAACATACCTTAAAAGTCAATTCTAACTTCTGAATGCAGACCTGTTTTTCCCTCTCACTCAAGAACAACTCTTGCACAGAGGTCGAGACTTTCAAGGAGAGAAAATCCCTCCAATCATATGTTACAGGTTTATTCTCCAGGATATACAATGAATTTATGAGAGCGGGCAAATTTTGTGACCCTGGTCGTGCACGTTTCACGATAGTGACTTCCTATTGCATAGCTCCTGTAGACTTCTGAATGATGTCACCAAACGAAGGAACAACTGCTGTCACTTGTTTATTCTCATGTTGTTACCGAATCGTATTCAAGGAAAATTTCTACTTGATGGATAAAATTATATCGACAAGGCATCGCGATCAGAAAGTCTTGAACTCTCTTTATTTTCAAAGCTACACTTTTCCGTTAAAATTTCCTTTCATACTCTCATACTGTTTCTAGAATTCTCACTATTATCCATAGAGGAACTTTAACCATTTTACCTTTTTTCCTTAGTGTGCTGAAAAAAAAAAAAAAAAAAAAAAAAAAGAGTGGTACCTGTTTCATCCCTTGAAATAATACATTATGCGTATAATCAGGACATAAACTCGGATGGAGATTAGCTGAGCTTCTTCTTAGCTTCTAAGTGGATTTGTAATTCCAGTCGATATATTTTTTTTCTATTTAATTATTTAAAATTAATTTAATAATTTATTAGATTTTTTTATCTCTTTACATTTCTCTTAATTTAAATATTATTTTAATTTTTAAGCTATTTTACTTACTTATTTTTTTCTTTCGTTCCTCACAGTCTTCCATAGGTTCCGGCACTTCTAATTTTAGAAATTAAGCCCTGCATTAATCGCGATCACGTTAAGCGGTGCCTGCTGTTTTTAATATTATTTACGTCTATAAATATTGCAATGGATTATTTCTTTGAAAATTGGCATCTACAGTTGAGGCTATGTAATTACCAAACGCAGTTTGAAAAAATTAAATCCAATGTTAGTGACAGCGTTTTCTCTTCAAATTAAAGCAACTCGAATAAAATTAGCAAAAACCCTACATTGAGAGAGATATTCTAAAGTACATACCTGTCATTTTAAGTTTTAAGCGATATGATAGTACTGTTACCAATTTTGCACATAGATAGATGACATTAGGGCAGTTATATGTGAAATTGTTGTACTTTATTCTGTATAATATAACATGAAAATTTAGACAGACTATGCCCTGCCTGAAAGATAAGAATACAGAGCCAAGTTTATTTAACATTGAGTAAATGTTTCGTTAATTTGGCGAGATATCGCCAAGTTGGCAACGGTTTTGATGAGTAATTTTTATGGCCACATTTCGCGATAAATCACCAAAAGGGACGATCTTTAGGTCCGGGTCCCTGTATCACTGTAATAATATTTTAATTGAATAATTATAATTGATTCCATATGCAATTGTAACCGTATCTGGCTCTCATATATCTTCCAGTAATTTCGAGAAGTACTAGACATTTCTCGGCAGCCGAGTAAAAATTATATGAGGCCGGAGACAGCATCTGCTCTCAATTGTTGGTTGTTACTTCAGTGTGAATTCAGAGTACTGATATATCTCAGCGTAGCTTCGCTCTCTAGATGCTCTGTGCATTGTTTTGTGTTTAACATCCTTAGTAGTTTGAAGTTTAACTATTGTTTGTCCTCTCTGATACTGTTGTGAGACTGTTTTTGCGAAAAGTTTCAGAACTCAGAAATGTTTCTTTTGATAAAAAATAAATTTTATCAACCTATCATCGGATCTATGTGCATTCAATCTAATTCAATCTATTACAAATACGCACGCAACAGTATGATTAAATACCTTAAACTAAATGACAGTTGTTTGAGAAACATTTTAGAAAAATATTTACAGAATTTAAAATTCATTTAATTAGCTTGATACGTTTTATGCTAATTCTTTTCCATACTTCCTATTTTTTCGTCGAACTTCAACCAAAATCCAAACTCCAAATTAATAATGAGCTAAAGCAATATTTTAGGGGGCCCTAGTTGAACAAGCTGAATGTGTTCTTTTCATTTAAGAAGACAGAGTAAGCTTTCAACTCTCCATTGTCATTCTGAAATTGGGTATTCATGTAATATGCGATTATCACAACTATGAACTTTAGAATTGTTTTCAATGTCACCGCTGAAACGCTATTTTAAAATATGGAAATAAATACGAAAACATAAAAGAAGCTGATTCCATTTATTAAGGTAAAAACCCACTAAATATTTAATTCCAACAAATTTACAGGTTAAAGTTTTTTTTTTTTTTTTTTTTCTTTTAATGCAATGGCAGATTATGAACAGTTACAGAGTAATACAGTCCATTAATCTATACAATGCCACTTAAATTTTGGATTATATCTTTACTGTTATCATATCTTTAATAAATCCAGCTACTGTAATTTCAT